CACAGGGATGATCAGACAGGGTAAGGGAATCTTCGTTAAGGAGCCAACCCCCGAGCCCTAATGGTGATCGGATCTTTCTCCTAACTCTGTGTTTGTTCGTCAGGTGTAGCTGGGTTTACCTTTTTGCAGTGAGTGACATGCACCCAGATGGATCTCTCAGCTATTCTGCTGGCAAAGGCAGTACTTGGTAGGGCCCTTCCCGCCAGGCCTGCTTCAGTCTCCTGGTTAGATAGAGTGGGTCACCTTCTCCTTTAGTTCACCTGTGGGGCACGAAACCTCTGACATACAGGTGTGGTTAATAAAATATCATACATGTTTTTTTTGTTTTTTTTAAGTATTTTGTCCTCTCCTTCGTATATATTTAATATTTAATCCTACCCTCTCCTACCATACCATCCATCCCCCATTTGACACATGATTTGGCCATGTGTCAATATTACCACCTACCTAAACAATCACTTTAGTTAATATTGGTAATTCATTATCCAATTGCCATTCCTCCACTCTCTCTTCTGTTATTTTATGGTTCAAATCATATATATTATTACCAAATTATAATCTTCTTCACACTTTGCACAGTATTACAAATTACCCTCAACTTAGTAAAATAAACTATCTTAAAGTCCTCCTCTCATGCCTTTAGAATTTACTAGTGTGGATGATTAAAATAACACCAGAATGTTAAAACAGAGTTCAGAGGCAATTGAAATCATTTAACGAACTGTTTAATCCCATAGTATACTAAACATTACCATTATTCTAAATATTTCATAAATGTTAGTTATCCCAAGTGTTCATTAAGTCCTCATGACATTCATTCTCATAAGAAATCATATATACCCCAAACTCAGCCAAAAGCTAAAAAACTCCATAAAATTCACTTTGTGCTCCTCTAAGACCTATCACCCTGACCTGCTCAAACCCCCCCCAAATTGAAACAAGGCTTTATAAACATCATACTAGGTGTGTTGTTTTTTGTTTGAAAAACCCAATTTGAAAAACAACCACACCACTTTTGTTTTAAGAACTTTATTATTTATTCTTAATTGTAATTTAAAACCTTACTGACTCCAATATTTTGTATAAAAAGTGCTTTCAATGTTAATGGTCTAATATTTTTAGTTTAAAACGCAAATGGGTAATAGTAATACCATTAGACCACTTTATTTAACTAAATAACCAAAAATGCAAATATAAATGATACAGATATCCCCAGTCCTAACCCATCAATAATTGTTTGTATCAATCTAAATCACCCCCCTTCTCTCTCTCTCCTGACTCTTCAAAAGCCACACTCTCGCTGTCTCCAGCCCCTCCCCTCGCAACTCTCTCTCCCTCTCCTCTGGTGGGAGCAGGTTCCTTCGAGGAGCTGTGTTAGTGTTTCCAATATTCTGTGGTTATTTAAAGTACTTTCATCTAGTTATTTAAATAAAATTATTCCCACCTAATTAGTTAAAGTTGGTGTATGTTTATATTTAAATGATAAACCGAATTATTTCAGTCTAATTGTTTAACCAGTATTTTGCAGGGTCAAACATTACATCAAATAATCAACAAAAAAGAAGCCTCAACCCAAGCACCTAAAACCAGTATTATGCTATGTCAAACATCAAACACTGAATCAAATAATAAACCAAATTGTTTCAACACAACTATTCAAAACCAGTTCAGTCACACAATTAATCACTTTAGCTTTATGTTCCCAATTGTTATTAACGGGTTATATGGTTTAAGCAACCACAAACCCAACAGTTATCCCCAAATTTATACAGTTTGGACAGGCACAGACGTCTTTGATTCCCAATTAGTTTTCTATCAAGGTATACAGGTTTATCATTCACACTCTCATGCATACGTCACCCCTGTCTTAAAGAATTTTAAGTGTCTCCTTTGAACCTAGTCATATCTAGTCTGAACTGATATGTGCCATAGCGTCGCACTGCCTATTTATTTAAAGTACCTCCTATGGGTGTCTTTTGTTAACGTTTGCACAATTTAAACTTTATTTCCTAATTGTAATTCTCATTATTTACTGTTTTAAAATATTGTTTGTATTCTCAGCCAAAATGGTACACAGTTATTACACAGTTAAACGTAGTATACAGTTATCACACTCACTCACAATACACAGTCATAATCCTATCACAGTCATAAATGACACACTTACACTCGACACACAATCGTAATTCTTTGTCACACAACTAAAGTTTCTTAGGACACACAGATAACAAAGGTATACAATGGGGCACACAGCCACCTCTACTATGGGGCACACAGCCACCTCTACAATGGGGCACACAGCCACCTCTACTATGGGGCACACAGCCACCTCTACTATGGGGCACACAGCCACCTCTACTATGGGGCACACAGCCACCTCTACTATGGGGCACACAGCCACCTCTACTATGGGGCACACAGCCACCTCTACTATGGGGCACACAGCCACCTCTACTATGGGGCACACAGCCACCTCTACTATGGGGCACACAGCCACCTCTACTATGGGGCACACAGCCACCTCTACTATGGGGCACACAGCCACCTCTACTATGGGGCACACAGCCACCTCTACTATGGGGCACACAGCCACCTCTACTATGGGGCACACAGCCACCTCTACTATTCCATGGGTTTAACCATCACAATTATCAAACATTTGCATAGTACATTATGAAATCGAAGTAGTATACTGTAATCGTTATTTATAGTATAATAGGGTTCACTTACATCAAACAGGTGCTTCACAAAATTAATTTGGATAAAGCCAATGTGCAAAACTTCAGTTATATTACAATAGGTGTTTTGCTTACCTTTATAGAAGCCCGGGCAATTTGTGAAACACAGTTCGATGACAGTGATGTCCAATAGGCTGGGTGAATTCCAGCGAAGTTCCGCCACCAGATCACAGTCGGAGGTCACCAATTGTTAGAAATTGCGTAATTCAAATCTGGTATTGGAATAAGAATCAAGAGATCTTCAATCCAAGCTTAATTTATTATATGCAAAATGTATGTATGATAAGTATGAAGGTTCGTATATACGGGTCCACTGAAATACCACGCAGGGCACTCAGTTAACTAGAATTATTGTTTACAGATTCTTTCTCAAATACTCTGACAGAAAGCCTCCACCTCTTCTGTTGGCCAACCAGAGCAAAGGACTGAGTGTGGTTCAGCCAATCCGTTGGCGCAGGGGTTGGTCCCAACTCCTCGGCGTTTCATTTGTTGCCAGGCATAGTTGCAATGATAATAACCTGTGGAGTCAGCACCCAAAAGACACCATTCCACTGTACTCCATGTTCAAGGACAGTTTCACAGACTACAAAGAGAGAGTGTTCGTATCTGTAAGAAATACAAGTCTTATCTGTCCTACCCCTAACGTTCCTTACATGAATAACAACAGCCTGTTATGTGAAACAATCCATATCAGTACAGTGCTCCTCATTAATGCATTCCTTCCAAGCTATTCATCACATACAGATCCAATTATGAGAAAAATAAAACCCAACAGTTTCAATATTCATGTCTTATAATACGTGTATTACGATCTAGAGAGTGGTTATACAGAGTTAATAGCAGCCAGAGACAACAACAGCTCTATTTGACAGCATCATACTGGCATTGTTTTGGTCTGACACACCGAGGGGGAGGAGCGTCCCTGTCTACATCACCATGCAGCGAGAAGGGTGCAATTGCGGCCTGCAATTCGGGGTGTTCCTACATGTGGGCATTCCAGCATCTACACGAACCCCTCTTTATACTTCTATTGGTCAATTTCTTAACTAGGACAAGGCGGGAGCGCTCCAATACATTAGGTGGCGTTAATGCACAATAACGTTGGATGCCAGCTGACGATAAACTCCACACAGGGCGGGAGCGACAACAGTAGCTAGCTAGCCGTACACCGGTAGACAGTGTCCTTTGCCACCGACAGACGGTTTACACAGCAGGCGGGAGGCGGGGGCGACACGATTCCAATCGTTTTGATTGTGTTGTCATGTTGTAACATTTCTCACAGCATGAAAATATTCCCACTTCAATAATTGCATGTGCGTCTCTGTGTGGATGGATGAGCTCGTGCGCATGTGTCTCGGTGTGTAAGCATTTGTTTGAGCAGTTCTGTTAAAGACTGAGGGCAGGTGTTCAGCAGGCGGGGAGCGAAGGATACTGTCTACCGGTGAATGTAAACAAAAACTATATAGCCTCAAAACATGGTTAAAACTATAGTTTTTATATCATGTATGGGCAGGCCTTGCATTCATAGCTGTCTGAATTTGAGATCGATTACATTTCTCCAACCCCCTCAGCCTTTTACTGAAACAGGGGTGGTGACAAGCTGTGTTATTGTTTATACTGCTGATTGCTGCTTTAATGGCACTAGCCTATATAAATGCAAGCCATATGCCTAATTGAAGCAATGATAGACGAGACTGTGGTCAAACTAGTGTTGAGCTGCGTCCAAGATTCAGACAGTTCCTATAGTGTCTTTCCCCCCATAGGGAAGACAGAGAACAAGTGGCCAATGTTTCCCAGCTAAACCCTGACTGGATGAGGGATGGGACTGGAGCATCTCTCTGAGCCTCCATAGATATAGGATGGCTGCTCTGCTTTGTTTAAGGCCATTTAGTCATGTCATTCTGGACAGATATCTTAGTCACTAGTCAGGCCTGTCCAGTAACAAGCACCATTCCAGAAGTATAATGTAGTTATAATGATGCTGTTTCCTGAGTGTGTGTGTGTGTGTGTGTGTGTACCTTGTAAGTGTGAAGTGCTGCTGGTTGGGTTTAAAATGTCTTGACTTCCTGTCCATTGTGTGTTTGGCCTTAAACTGTGTCTTTCTTTCTGTCTGTCTTTATCTCTCTGTTCTCTCTCTAGTCCACTACTACTTCCTGATGTATAAACATTGTCATTACATAATCGTACTACCACAGACACTGACATTCAATAATGAGCTTCATAATGAATTGCATGTTATTTTTGTGAACTTAATGAAATCCAAATGAAATCTATGTAGACCTATTCTGTGTATTGTGTCTCCCAGGTCTGGGCCTCAAGGTGGGGCAGAGTGAGGTGGGTGGTGGGGAAGGAAGGCCTAGTCCCCCATCCTTACAAGAGGCCAGCCCCAGCTTCTGCTCCAGTAGCCCCTAGCCTTAGCCCCTTCAGGACCGAGCTGGAACCATGAGCACAGGCAAGCCCAGCGGAATCAAGCCCCCCAGTAAGATAACCAGGCCAACTGGGTTACCAACACGCACCTCCCCTTCCTCTGGTAAGAATCATCCGCAGGGCTCATCGTGTGTGTGTGTGTGTGTGTGTGTGTGTGTGTGTGCTGCAGATGATGAGGATGATTGTTTTTCCAGCTGCTTCCAAGCCTGTGCCCCCTGAGAAGTCTCCCACCCAGGATGGAGCAGTGGACTACCAGGTGGGGGAGAAGGTGTGGGTCAACGGTAACAAGCCAGGATATGTCCACTTCCTGGGGGGTACACAGTTTGCCCCGGGCCAGTGGGCCGGCATCATCCTGGATGAGGCTATCGGGAAGAACGACGGGTCGGTAGCGGGGGTCCAGTACTTCCAGTGTGAGGACGGAAGAGGGATATTCACACGGCCCTCCAAGTTGACCAAGACAGCATTGCCGGAGAGGGAGGCCAATGGTGGGCAGCCTAACCCTGGCGTGACAGGGGCCAACTCCCCTAGCTCTGCTGCTGCTGGGGCTGCTACTACCACTGGTAACAGCACCAAGACACCGCTGAGTAGAACCGTGACGGGCAGTGGGTCAGTGTCCAACCTCTCTGAGACTGACTCAGCCAAGAAGACCAGAAGAGAACTGAGACTGGGAGACCGCGTGCTGGTGAGTGTGTGTCTGTGTGTGTGTGTGTTTGTGTATGTGTGCACATGTTTGTGTTTCTGGCTCACATATGTGTTAACTCACAGCTCTTTCTCCTTCTCTACCCACCTCTCTTTCTCTCTCCCACCTCTCTATCTCTCTCAAGGTGGGGGGTACTAAGGCAGGGGTGGTGAGGTTCATGGGGGAGACAGACTTTGCCAAGGCGGAGTGGTGTGGAGTGGAGCTGGACGAACCTCTTGGGAAGAATGATGGAGCTGTGGCTGGAACCAGGTTAGATATAATATGACACGTATAGACAGAGAGCCTTAAAATAATGATACTGAATAAAAACCTGTCCTCTTATGATTATGATGCAAGTCAAAAATAAATACATAAAATCACATTTTATTTGTCACATGCGCCGAATACAACAAGTATACACTTCACCGTGAAATGCTTACTTACGAGCCCTTTCCCAACAATGCAGAGTTAAAAAGTAAGAAGATTAGCAAATAAAAACTAAAAAAGGAAAGAGTAACACAATAAAATAACAATAACGAGGCTATATACAAGGTGTACCGGTACCTAAGTCAATGTTCTGGGGGTACGAGGTAGTTAAGGTGATTGAGGTAATATGTACATGTAGGTAGGGGTAAAAGTGACTAAGCAATCAGGATAGATAATAAACAGAGTAGGAGCAGCGAGTGTGAAAGTGTGTCTATGTGTGAATGTGTGTGTGTGTGTTTGTCATCAATATGTATGTGTGTGTGGGTTTTTTGTGTGTGAGCTTATGTAGTGTGTGTGTGTGTTTGTCGTGGTCAAAGGTTTTGAGAATGACACAAGTATTGGTCTTCACAAAGTTCGCTGCTTCAGTGTTATGAGATATTTTTGTCAGATGTTACTATGGTATGCTGAAGTATAATTACAAGCATTCCATAAGTGTCAAAGGCTTTTATTGACAATTACATTAAGTTTATGCAAAGAGTCAATATTTGCAGTGTTGACCCTTCTTTATCAAGACCTCTGCAATCCGCCCTGGCATGCTGTCAATTAACTTCTGGGCCACATCCTGACTAATGGCAGCCCATTCTTGCATAATCAATGCTTGGAGTTTGTCAGAATTTGTGGGTTTTTGTTTGTCCACCCGCCTCTTGAGGATCGACCACAAGTTCTCAATGGGATTAAGGTCTGGGGAGTTTCCTGGCCATGTTTTGTTCCCCGAACAACTTAGTTATCACTTTTGCCTTATGGCGAGGTGCTCCATTATGCTGGAAAAGGCATTGGTCGTCACCAAACTGTTCTTGGATGGTTGGGAGAAGTTGCTCTCTGAGGATGTGTTGGTACCATTCTTTATTCATGGCTGTGTTCTTAGGCAAAATTGTGAGTGAGCCCACTCCCTTGGCTGAGAAGCAACCCCACACATGAATGGTCTCAGGATGCTTTACTGTTGGCATGACACAGGACTGATGGTAGCACTCACCTTGTCTTCTCCTTACAAGGTGTTTTCTGGATGCCCCAAACAATCGGAAAGGGGATTCATCAGAGAAAATGACTTTACCCCAGTCGTCAGCAGTCCAATCCCTGTACCTTTTGCAGAATATCAGTCTGTCCCTGATGTTTTTCCTGGAGAGAAGTGGCTTCTTTGCTGCCCTTCTTGACACCAGGCCATCCTCCAAAAGTCTTCGCCTCATTGTGCGTGCAGATGCACTCACACCTGCCTGCTGACATTCCTGAGCAAGCTCTGCACTGGTGGTGCCCCGATCCCGCAGCTGAATCAACTTTAGGAGACGGTCCTGGCGCTTGCTGGACTTTCTTGGGCGCCCTGGCGCCTTCTTCACAACAATTGAACCTCTCTCCTTGAAGTTCTTGATGATCTGATAAATGGTTGATTTAGGTGCAATCTTACTAGCAGCAATATTACATTTTTTACATTTACGTCATTTAGCAGACGCTCTTATCCAGAGCGACTTACAGGAGCAATTAGGGTTAAGTGCCTTGCTTAAGGGCACATCGACAGATTTTCACCTAGTCGGCTCGGGGATTAGAACCAGCGACCTTTCGGTTACTGGCACAACGCTCTTACCCACTAAGCTACCTGCAGTCTTATGGCTTGGGGGTGGAAGCTGTTCAGGAGCCTTTTGGTCCCAGACTTGGTGCTCCGGTACCGCTTGCCGTGCGCAAGCAGAGAGAACAGTCTATCACTTGGGTGGCTGGAGTCTTTGACAATTTTTAGGGCCTTCCTCAGACACCGCCTGGTATAGAGGTCCTGGACGGCAGGGAGCTCGGCCCCATTGATGTACTGCGCCGTACGCACTACCCTCTGTAGCGCCTTGTGGTCAGATGCCAAGCAGTTGCCATACCAAGCGGTGATGCAGTCAGTCAAGATGCTCTCAATGGTGCAGCTGTATAACTTTTAGAGGATCTGAGGGCCCATTCCAAATATTTTCAACCTCCTGAGGGGGAAGAGACGTTTTCGTGCCCTCTTCACGACTGTGTTGGTGTGTGTGGACCATGAGGAACTTGAAGCTCTTGACCCGCTCCACTTCAGCCCGGCTCTCCGTTTCCTGTAGTCCACTATCAGCTCCTTTGTCTTGCTGACGTTGAGGGAGAGGTTGTTGTCCTGGCACCACACTGCCAGGTCTATGACCTCCTCCCTGTAGGCTGTGTTACTGTCGTCGTAATCAGGCCTACCACCGTCGTTTCGTTGGCAAACTTAATGATGGTGTTGGAGTCGTGTGCGGCCACGTGGTCGTGAGTGAACAAGGAGTACAGGAGGGGACTAAGCACACACCCCTGAGGGGCCCCCGTGTTGAGGGTCAGCGTGGTGGATGTGTTATTGCCTACACTAACCACCTGGGGGGGCCCGTCAGGAAGTCCAGGATCCAGTTGCAGAGGGAGAGGTTTAATCCCAGGGTCCTTAGCTTAGTGGTGAGCTTGCAGAGCCCTATGGTGTTTAACACTGAGCTGTAGTCAATGAATAGCATTCTTAAGTAGGTGTTCCTTTTGTCCAGGTGGGAAAGGGAAGTGTGGAGTGCAATACAGATTGTGTCATCTGTGGATCTGTTGGGGCGGTATACAAATTGCAGTCAGTGTTCATTGTTGTTGACATGCAACGTTTGTTTGGCTCTTGTTGCCTCTGAAATAAATAAATAGCATAAAATAACTTTGAAACCTTTTGAGTGGGGACCCTCTACACTGAATCAGTGTTGTTGACATCCTCTGTTTTCTCTTTCTTTTGTCTCCAGGTATTTCCAGTGCCTGCCGCGATACGGACTGTTTGCCCCAGTCCATAAAGTGACTCGTATCGGCTTCCCCAGCACCCTGGCTAAAGCCAAGGCCTCCTCTCGGAGACACTCCACCATGAAGAGGAGTCCCAGCGCCTCCTCCATGAGCTCCCTGAGCTCTGTCACTTCCTCTGTTAGTGGGAAACCCAGCCGCGCTGGCCTGGTGAGACAAACACAAACACATACACACACTAGAGGCTGCTGCTGCCTATTGAAATCACTGGCCACTTTAAGAAATGGAACACTAGTCACTTTAATAATGTTTACATATCTTGCACTACTCATCTCATATGTATATACTGCATTCTATTCTATAATACTCTACTGTGTCTTAGTCATGCCGCTCTGTCATTGCTTGTCCATTCCTTACTAGTTTTGTGTGTATTGGGTATATGTTGTGAAATTGTTAGATATTACTTGTTAGATATTACTGCACTGTCGGAGCTAGAAGCACAAGCATTTCACTACATCCGCTATAACATCTGCTAAACACGTGTACGTGACAAATAACATTTGATTTGATTTGATTTGACACGCACGCACACACACGAGCAAGTCCGTTTTTTTCTTTCCTCTGCTCTCTAAATATGTCCGTCTCACTACCCCCCCCCCCAGTTGACAGAGACCTCGTCGCGGTATGCTCGTAAGATCTCTGGCACCACAGCGCTACAGGAAGCCCTGAAGGAGAAGCAGCAGCACATCGAACAGCTATTGGCCGAGAGGGACATGGAACGCGGGGAGGTGGCCAAGGCAACCAGCCATGCTGGAGAGGTGCAGCAGGAACTGTCTCTGCTCACGAAGGTTCAGGAGCAGGTGAGGGACGGGTAGAAAACACATACACACAGAAAGAGAAAAATACAATACACACCTGGACTATCCGTCTCCCACACAGGCTTTATGTTGTTGACCATAGAAAAGTATGACCTATGACCTATAGCAAACCTTACTTACAGTACAATGTCCACTTTTCAATGTCATGACACTGTACTGTACTATCGAAATGCATTAATATAGCGCGTGTGTGTGTGTGTGTGGGTGTGTGTGTGTGTGTGTGTGTGTGTGGGTGTGTGTGGGTGTGGGTGTGTGTGGGTGTGTGTGTGTGTGGGTGTGTGTGTGGGTGGGTGTGGGTGTGGGTGTGGGTGCGTGTGTGTGGGTGGGTGTGTGTGTGTGGGTGGGTGTGTGTGTGTGCTAGTATGCTATGGAGATGGAAGATAAGCTGGACCAGTTGCGTAAACTGGTGGAGACGGCAGACAGAGACAAGGTGGAGCTGCTCAGCCAACTGGAGGAGGAGAAGAGGTGTGTGCGTCTTGCATGGTAGGGGATGGAGCCTGGGATGTTGGAGGAGAGGAGGGTAGGATGACTCTTTCTATCTGTCTGACAGGAAAGTGGAAGACCTGCAGTTCACTGTGGAAGAGGCTTGCATCACTAAAGGTGACCTAGAGGTAAACAAATGATTCAGTACTCTCTACTCTGACACACACACACACACACACACACACACACAGTCTGATTCAATTTTTTACCTAAGCTAACAGAACCCAGACAATGTTATTTCACATAGTGAAAACCACATAGAGCTGATGTTGTTACACAGTTGTTGCACCTTTCTCATTTCAACTACTCATGAAACACCGATACATAATTATGTCATTTCCTTTGGTCTATCTAAAACGCCATACCCTCATCTGTACTGTGTCATGACTCCATGTTTTGTTCTATGACACACCCTTTATATACTCAGAGAACAATGCTGGGTGAGTGTTTAATACAGTATAGTTCACCAGTTGACCACGGTTCTCATCATCTTGGTTGGTTAGCTGAAGCTCTCTCGCTCATCTGATTGGTTACTTGAAGCTCTCTCACTCTCATCCGATTGGTTAGCAGAAGCTCTCTAACTCTCATCCGATTGGTTACCTGAAGCTCTCTCACTCTCATCCGATTGGTTAGCTGAAGCTCTCTCACTCTCATCCGATTGGTTACCTGAAGCTCTCTCACTCTCATCCGATTGGTTAGCTGAAGCTTTCTCACTCATCTGATTGGTTACCTGAAGCTCTCTCACTCTCATCCGATTGGTTACCTGAAACTCTCACTCTCATCCGATTGGTTAGCTGAAGCTTTCTCACTCATCTGATTGGTAGCTGAAGCTCTCTCACTCATCCAATTGGTTAGCTGAAATGATTTTTCATAGTCTCTCCTCACTATCCCACTTCATACATCTCCTCTGGAAGGTCTGGTTCAGTAGCTCCAGCAGTTTGGGGATGTGCATATTTTAACCCTTATTCACTACTACCCACTAAAGTGCACATGTTGGCATGGTGGTGGGTGAGTTCATGGTTTTCACAATATCTGCTCTTGATTTTGGCTTTTGCTGCTGGACTAATAAAGAAACCAAAACTATTTTCAATAATTCTATCAAGGCTTTTGGTTATCCACACGTTCATTAAATTAAATTTAATTTAATTTTTCATCTGATCATCTATTCCTTTAATCTCTTTCATTTCCTGGCCCTCATCAATTCCCTCATTCATGACTTGCTTTCGTTCTTTTATTTGCTCCCCTCTTATTCTTTCTTTGTTTTTCTATCTATCGCCTCCTTCTTGAGAGCTCTCTTTTCTCTCCTTGCCACGCCTCTTCTCTTTTCACATTCTTTCAACTCTCTCTCTCGCCTTCACTCCCTCTCTCTTCCTCGCTCATGGAGAGGGTGATGTCACAAAGCCTTCATCTGTCTCTCTCTCTCTCTCTCTCCCTTTGGCGCTTACAGAAGAGCAAGAAGGATAGAGCGATGATGTCACTGATTGTAAGACCTTGTCAAGAAAATGTTAGAGCACTGGGAGCCAAAGTGAACAGAACCGAATCCACAAGATAGAGCTGTCCTGAAAATAGATCCAAGCAGATCTATAGATACACTAGACACAGTTTGGCAAACTCAATTAATGAAAAGTTGCAAGACAAATGCTTAGATTGATAAGAATGTTATCTTTATGTAGCTGTTGGTGCCAACATGGAGGATAGTTAGCGGAACTCTGTACATCTGGGACTCAGCCAACCAAAGACCCAAATAGAGGTGGTTAGTGTGCGGCTCAGTCCCATAGAGGTTCACTTTAGAGGGTTAGAGTCCTTTTATAAGATTTAGGCTGTGTCTCAAATGGCACCATATTCCCTATATGCCTCTATATATGGGTCTGCTCATTGAGGATTTGTTCTAATAGAATCTTTTGAATATAACATTTGAAATAAAATAGAACCCACTGAAATAAAACCTTTGGCTCTCATATGCTCTTCCTACTTCCTGGTCTCTACTATGACATCATTGTTTGCTGTCCTATCCTTGTATGTGGCATGATGCTGGCATGTGACGCTGGTGTTGGTGTGTTCTCCTCTTCCTCCTCTTCCTCTCTCTGACTAACAGACGCAGACCAAGCTGGAGCATGCCCACAGTAAGGAGCTTGAGCAGAGCCTTCTGTTTGAAAAGACCAAAGCTGACAAACTGCAGAGGGACTTAGAGGACACTAGGGTAATGCCATCATAGACATAATATATAGGACATCATCGGGTACTACCTCTGGATATTCCTGGATCTTACGTTCTAGACGCAGTAGGGTTGGGGTGTATGTTGTGGATTGTAGTTATCGCAATATAAATGTCCACAATAAAAGGAATGTCTGCAACTCTGGTATGCTTCCGTGGTGATTTAATCAGACGCACAATAAAGACAACGTTTCGAACCGAGTTGGATTTTCGTCAGGTCATACACCACTGAAATAACCTCTAGAGGTATGTACTTACGGTCAGTTAAATACATATAGTACATAAACATCACAATAAATATTACACAGTAGACATATATGGAAAAACATGAATACATTTTATTTTATTTTATCCATGTCAAGTAATATAGGTGTGAAATAGATTTTTGTGTAAAATGTAAAAAAGCAGCCCCTTGTGAGCAGAGCACATTTTACAGAAATGGTTTTATATCTAGTTCTTCGTTTAGACCTCTTGGAGACAGAATGTTGAAGAAATGTATCCAAAAGGACTCTCTTCTCAGGAGGAAATTGTCAAATTGCCACAGCATTCCATAATGTTTCCTCTGCATGCCCCAAACTCTCTGGAACAAAAAGCTGTTCTCATGCTGCTGCGACTAATACCCGAGTCTTACCTGCACACTCTTACCTTGCCTTGATACTGTTCTTCATATACTATCTCAAAAAAGATGGATGGGCTAGGGCTGGCTCTCTCTCTACTCTCTCCCCTCTCATTCCCCCCTCTTATTCTCCCTCCCCCTTCTCTCTCTCCCCAGGTGGCCACAGTGTCTGAGCGGTCCAGGATCATGGAGCTGGAGAGAGAGGTAGCGGAGCTGCAGTTGAGACTATGCTCCTCCCAGCAGACAGTGGGCGCTGTATCACTGTCACCAGAGGAGCTCAGCAACCTCAAGGCCCGGGCCCAGTCCCAGGAGAAGAAGGTGGGGGGTCTCATAGCCCTGGTCAAAAAACATCCCCTTAATAACCCCTTAGCTCCTACCCCTCTCCCAAGGATGGGCAACTCAAGTCCCAAACTGGCCTCAGGGCAATTTGTAGGATTTGGGACGTACATTTGTGTCCCTCTATTTAGTATGATATGTTGCGTTACGTTATGAACGGAATATTGGTCGGACATTATCATACGAATTGGAGGACATATAGTATCATACGTCATACCTGGTCGTACAATATCATACGAATTAGATGATGTAACGTATCATACATCTTTGCGGACGTATAGTATTATACGTCTTGCTCTGAGACCACTCATCCTCCCACCCATCCTCCACGACCAACCTTGTTTCTGTCATAAGTAACCAGACCATTATTCCATTTGTAACTTAACGTAACATATCATACTAAATGGAGGCACACAAATGTATACTGAACAAAAATAAAAACGCAACATGTAAAGTGTTTCATGAGCTGAAATAAAAGATCCCTGAAATTTTCCATACGTACAAAAAGCTTATTTCTCTCAAATTTTGTGCACAAAGTTGTTTACACCCGTTAGTGAACATTTCTCCTTTGCCAAGATAATCCATTCACCTGACCGGTGTGGCATATCAAGAAGCTGATTAAACAGCATGATCATTACACAGGTGCACCTTGTGCTGGGGACAATAAAAGACCACTCTAAAATGTGCAGTTTTGTCACACAACAATGCCACATATGTCTCAAGTTTTGAGGGAGCGTGCAATTGGCATGCTGACTGCAGGAATGTCCAATTTCTGAACCATAAGCCGCCTCCAAAGTCGTTTTGGAGAATTTGGCAGTACGTCCAACCGACCTCACAACCACAGACCACGTGTAACCACGCCAGCCCAGGACCTCCACATATGGCTTCTTCACCTGCAGGATCGTCTGAGACCAGCCACACAGACAGCTGATGAAACTATTTCTGTAGAAGAAGTATTTCTGTCTGTAATAAAGCCCTTTTGTGGGGAAAAACGAATTCTGATTGGCTGCGCCTGGCTCCCCAGTGGGTAGGCCTATGGCTGCGCCCCTCCTGCCCAGTCAATTGAAATCCATAGATTAGGGCCTCATTTATTTATTTCTATTGACTGATTTCCGTATATGAACTGTAACTCATTGAAATTGTTGCATGATGCATTTATATTTTTGTTCAGTATATGTTCCAAAGCAGATGTCTGTTGAATGTGGTCAGGCTGACAGTCCTGGCCTGCTGTGTGTGCACAGCTTTTGTTCCACCCTGTGTGTGTAGGCTTTTGTTCCAGCCCGGTCATACCCATGGTCTTTGCATTTACAATCCTCTGGTTTTGCCTCCCTTTTGACATTACTATGTCTCCCGCCTGTCTTCCCCTCCAGATCAGTGAACTGAGTGTGGATCTGGACAGCAGGCAGAAACAGCTACACTCGGTAGAGGAGGACAAGAGCTCCCTGGAACAGCAGCTAACCAGCCTGGTGAGACACACACACACGGTCATGATGATGAAAGTCATTATCCTTCCCTGTATAGCTCATGGAGAAAGAATGTTATTGCTCTCTAGTCAATCAATCAATCAATCAAATGTATTTATAGAGCCCTTTTTACAGTGGGGAAAAAAAGTATTTAGTCAGCCACCAATTGTGCAAGTTCTCCCACTTAAAAAGATGAGAGAGGCCTGTAATTTTCATCATAGGTACACGTCAACTATGACAGACAAATTGAGAAGAAAAAAATCCAGAAAATCACATTGTAGGATTTTTAATGAATTTATTTGCAAATTATGGTGGAAAATAAGTATTTGGTCACCTACAAACAAGCAAGATTTCTGGCTCTCACAGACCTGTAACTTCTTCTTTAAGAGGCTCCTCTGTCCTCCACTCTTTACCTGTATTAATGGCACCTGTTTGAACTTGTTATCAGTATAAAAGACACCTGTCCACAACCTCAAACAGTCACACTCCAAACTCCACTATGGCCAAGACCAAAGAGCTGTCAAAGGACACCAGAAACAAAATTGTAGACCTGCACCAGGCTGGGAAGACTGAATCTGAAGACTGTCCAGGCCCGTCTGAAGTTTGCTAGAGTGCATTTGGATGATCCAGAAGAGGATTGGGAGAATGTCATATGGTCAGATGAAACCAAAATAGAACCTTTTGGTAAAAACTCAACTCGTCGTGTTTGGAGGACAAAGAATGCTGAGTTGCATCCAAAGAACACCATACCTACTGTGAAGCATGGGGGTGGAGACATCATGCTTTGGGGCTGTTTTTCTGCAAAGGGACCAGGACGACTGATCCCTGTAAAGGAAAGAATGAATGGGGCCATGTATCGTGAGATTTTGAGTGAAAACCTCCTTCCATCAGCAAGGGCATTGAAGATGAAACATGGCTGGGTCTTTCAGCATGACAATGATCCCAAACACACCGCCCGGGCAACGAAGGAGTGGCTTCGTAAGAAGCATTTCAAGGTCCTGGAGTGGCCTAGCCAGTCTAAAGATCTCAACCCCATAAGTCTGTGTTGCCCAGCGACAGCCCCAAAACATCACTGCTCTAGAGGAGATCTGCATGGAGGAATGGGCCAAAATACCAGCAATAGTGTGTGAAAACCTTGTGAAGACTTACAGAAAACGTTTGACCTGTGTCATTGCCAACAAAGGGTATATAACAAAGTATTGAGAAATTTTTGTTATTGACCAAATACTTATTTTCCACCATAATTTGCAAATACATTCATTAAAAATCCTACAATGTGATTTTCTGGAAAAAAAATTCTCATTTTGTCTGTCATAGTTGACGTGTACCTATGATGAAAATTACAGGCCTCTCTCATCTTTTTAAGTGGGAGAACTTGCACAATTGGTGGCTGACTAAATACTTTTTTTCCCCATTGTACAAAGGACAGCCCCTACACCACCAAAGAGATATCAACAGACCACTAACTTACTACCCTGATGAGGGAAAAAAGTATTTGATCCCCCTTCTGACAAAGAAATGATCAGTCTATAATTTCAATGGTAGGTTTATTTGAACAGTGAGAGACAGAATAACAACAAATAAATCCAGAAAAACGCATGTCAAAAATGTTATAAATTGATTTGCATTTGAATGAGGGAAATAAGTATTTGACCCCCTCTCAATCAGAAAGATTTCTGGCTCCAGGTGTCTTTTATACAGGTAATGAGCTGAGATTAGGAGCATACTCTTAAAGGGAGACACCTGTCCACAGAAGCAATCAATCAATCAGATTCCAAACTCTCCACCATGGCCAAGACCAAAGAGCTCTCCAATGATGTCAGGGACAATATTGTAGACCTACACAAGGCTGGAATGGGCTACAAGAGCATCGCCAAGCAGCTTGGTGAGAAGGTGACAGCAGTTGGTGCGATTATTCGCAAATGGAAGAAACACAAAAGACCTGTCAATCTCCCTCGGCTTGTGGCTCCATGCAAGATCTCACCTCGTGGAGTTGCAATGATCATTAGAACGGTGAGGAATCAGCCCAGAACTACACGGGAGGATCTTGTCAATGATCTCAAGGCAGCTGGGACCATAGTCACCAAGAAAACAATTGGTAACACACTACGGCGTGAACGACTGAAATCCTGCAGCGCCCGCAAGGTCCCCCTGCTCAAGAAAGCACATATACAGGCCCGTCTGAAGTTTGCCAATGAACATCTGAATGATTCAGAGGAGAACTGGGTGAAAGTGTTGTGATCAGATGAGACCAAAATCGAGCTCTTTGGCATCAACTCAACTCGCCGTGTTTGGAGGAGGAGGAATGCTGCCTATGACCCCAAGAACACCATCCCTACCGTCAAACATGGAGGTGGAAACATTATGCTTTGGGGGTGTTTTTCTGATAAGGGGACAGGACAACTTCACCGCATCAAAGGGATGATGGACGGGGCCATGTACCGTCAAATCTTGGGTGAGAACCTCCTTCCCTCAGCCAGGGCATTGAAAATGGGTCGTGACAATGACCCAAAACACACGGCCAAGGCAACAAAGGAGTGGCTCAATAAGAAGCACATTAAGGTCCTGGAGTGGCCTAGCCAGTCTCCAGACCTTAATCCCATAGAAAATCTGTGGAGGGAGCTGAAGGTTAGAGTTGCCAAACGTCAGCCTCGAAACCTTAATGACTTGGAGAAGATCTGCAAAGAGGAGTGGGACAAAATCCCTCCTGAGATGTATGCAAACCTGGTGGCCAACTACAAGAAACGTCTGACCTCTGTGATTGCCAACAAGGGTTTTGTCACCAAGTACTAAGTCATGTTTTGCAGAGGGGTCAAGTACTTATTTCCCTCAATAAAATGCAAATCAATTTATAACATTTTTGACATGCGTTTTTCTGGATTTTGTTGTTGTTATTCTGTCTCTCACTGTTCAAATAAACCTACCATTCAAATGATAGACTGATCATGTCTTTGTCAGTGGGCAAACGTACAAAATCAGCAGGGGTTCAAATACTTTTTTCCCTCACTGTACAACGCAGAGTATAGCCCACGTTGATCTCCCCAACTACACAAGCCTGAGGGGGCTCAAAACCGGACAGGAAGATCACTTCAAGGACTCAACCCACTCAAGTCGAGTATAGCGAATAAAGCCTGGCATGACCTGATGCACCTTTCCTAGGGACGACATGGGAGAGCGCGAGCAGCCAGTGACTCAGACCCCGTAATAGGGTCAGAGGCAGAGAATCCCAGTGGAGAGAGGGGTGCCAGCCAAGCAGAAACAGCAAGGGTAGTTCGTCACTCCAGTGCCTTGCCGTTCACCTTTGCACCCCTGGGCCAGACTACACTCAATCATAGGACCTACTTAAGAGTGAAGTTTGTTGTTGTGTTGTTGTTTGTTTGTTTGCCATTTCAGAGACAGAAACTGGACGCAGCAAACAAAGACAACAAGAGAAAGGCACAAACCTTGCAAGGTAAGAAACTTTCGGCTTATTCTGGATTCAGGAAAACAGCCCTATGAGAGGCGCTGGTAAAGATGAATCATGAAGAGGGAAACTTATCTCTCCGACTTTTGTTGCAGAGCTGGAGAAGAGAGGAGAGCAGACGGGAAAAGAGAGGGAAGCACAGAGAGAAGAGAACCAACGCAAAGAGAAAGAGCTTCAGGATAGACTGACGCAGGTGTGTGTGTGTCTGCGTCCGTGCCTGTGTGTGTGTGTGTGTGTGTTAGCGAGTGGGTGTTGTATGGTAACAATTGTCTTTCTGTCTGTTGTGTGTGTCCCTGTATGTGTGCAGGTGGAAATGTGTGTATGTAATGTTTGTAGCATGATGTATGCATGAAAACTGCAGCTGTGACGCACAAGGTCACATGACGTTCTTTCATCCAGACACACTGAAGCTGAGCTAGATCTGTGAAGCTGAAGCTATGGCTGCAGGCTAGCTTAACAATGTAAAAATGAATACATGACTAACACAAACACATACACACACACACACACACACGTGACTAACCTTTTCCGTGTCACTTTAATATGCAGGCAGGTGTCTACTTTATGTAATGTTTATATAACTAAATAACTAGTTAATGTTTCACCATAGTTAATTATTGAAGATGTATTATTTCAAATTAAGTTTGAACTTAATTAACTTTTAAGAGGCTGTTCTTGTGGATTTAGACATCTTTTAGAAGTAGAATGATTAATTAGTTTTATAGCTTTAGAGAAAGCATTATGTATTATTGATGGGATTTGTGGAGACTTGCACCAATGGTCTGTTTGTAGTAAAGATCAATCATTTTAAACAAAAGTTAGTTATAGATCAAAATATATTATATAATGTTTACTAAACATGGCCCCTCCCCCAGGCTGCTGAGTCATCAGAGAGGACCGCCCACTCACTGGAGCAGTTGACCAATGAGAAGACAGTGCTAGAGGCTCAGGTGAGGATTAGGGTAGCTCAGATGAAAAGTCAGTTTGTCATATCTCTGATGTAAAGCAGGCTTTAATGCTTATGTAAGCTTCATATGTGTCTGTGTGTGTGTGTGTGCACGCGAGCATGTGTGTGTGTGTGTGTGTGTGTGCATGTGTGTGTGTGTGTGTGTGTGCATGTGTGTGTGTGTGTGTGTGTGTGTGTGTGTGTAGGGTCCTGAGGGCCTTTTACTTTATTCACTTGAGTATTACAGCTTATTACATACATGGCTATATTAACACATAGACCCAGTCATGCATCAAATACTCCTAGCCATCTCTTGCTCTCTGTCTCTCTGTCTCTCTCGCTGTCTCTCTCGCTCTCCCTTAACTTCTCCTCTGTGCATGTGTTGTGAGTGTGTGTGGTACATTTTTTTCGCAGTCCTTGCTCACTGTGTTGGACTATTTCCTCTCTCCATCTATCTCTCTCTCTGTTGCTCTCACTCTTTCTCTGTTTACACTTTATTTCTGTTTTACTCTCTTTCTTCTAATCGATCCATTGCTCTTTATTGCCCCCTTTCTAAACATCTTATAACCCCTCTCCTCATCTCTCCCTTCATCCATCCGCTCTTTCTTTCTCTCTGTCAATGCGTCTTTTTTGTCATCCATTTGTCATCTCCTCACCCCCTCTCTCTCTGGACATAGTGACCCAGCCATGCTAGCTGTGTCTGTGGGCTCCAGATGGTCAGTCTGATGACTGCAGGGAAACAGATTAGAGGGGAATACACACACTCTTAATCTGGGGAGTGAATTGCTTTGTGAGTGACTGTGGGTGTAGTTTCCAGTTAGATCTGAGCTGAGCCATTCCTTCTGTTCTACTGTCCTAATGTAGTAAGGAACCCTTTGTACCCCTCCCTAATGTATCTCACTCAGTCTTAGTGTTTCCCTTACCAATAACTAGGAAGAGGGCGCACCGCCTTGCAAGGTGGGCTATGTACATATGTAGGATCTTAATTTGATCCAGTTTGTTACAGCAGGAAAATAATCCTGCAGCAACAGGAAATGTGAATTATTATGTTGATTATAATTATACATTTTTGTAGGGATTGATGCATTTTTCATCAGGGCAAATCAAGTCTGAAATTTCAAAGTGGAAATTACAAACTTTAGAAGCCTTGTTAAAACTCAAATACACTACAAGTTTGCATTTCTTGCTGTGCAGGAAAATTGTCAGCAGCAAAAGAGTAATCAAATTAAGATCCTACATCTGTACACAGGATACCATTAGCGAGTCGATGTGATGGGGTAATTGAGGTAGATATGTTACTTACAGTGCCTTCAGAAAGTATTCATACCCCTTGATTTATTCCACAATTTGTTGTGTTACAGCCTGAATTCAAAATGTATTAAATAGATTTTGGTTTTCACCCATCTGCACACAATACCCCATAATGACAGAGTGAAAACATGTTTTTGGACATTTTTGCTAATTTATTGAAAATTAAATACAGGAATCTCTCGTCACACCCATGAGTCAATACTTTGTAGAAGCACCGTTGGCAGCGATTACAGCTGTGAGTCTTTCTGGGTAAGTCTAAGAGCTTTCCATACCTGGATTGTGGAACATTTGCCCATTATTCTTTTCAAAATTCTTCAAGCTCTGTCAAATTGATTGTTGATCATTGCTAGACAACCATTTTCAGGTCTTGCCATAGATTTTCAAGTAGATTTAAGTCAAAACTAACTCGGCCACTCAGGAACATTCACTGTCTTCTTGGTAACTCCAGTGTAGATTTTGACTTGTGTTTTAGGTTATTGTCCTGCTGAAAGGCGAATTAATCTCCCAGTGTCTGTTGGAAAGCAGACTGAACCAGGTTTTCCTCTAGGATTTTGCCTGTGCTTAGCTCCATTCCATAAATTTTTTTATCCTGAAAAACTCCCCAGTCCTTAATGATTACAAGCATACCCATAACATGATGCAGCCACCACTATACTTTAAAATATGGAGAGTGGTACTCAGTAATGTGTTGTATTGGATTTGCCCCGAACATAACACTGTATTCAGGACAAAAAGTTAATTGCTTTGCCACATTTTTCTATTCTGTACAGGCTTCCTTCTTTTCACTCTGTCAATTAGGTTAGTATTGTGGAGTAACTATAATGTTGTTGATCAATCCTCAGTTTTCTCCTATCACAGCCATTCAACTCTGTAACTGTTTTAAAGTCACCATTTGCCTCAGGGTGAAATCCCTGAGCGGTTTCCTTCCTCTCCAGCAACTGAGTTAGGAAGGACGTCTGTGTCTTTGTAGTGTCTGGGTATATTGATACACCATCCAAAGTGTAATTAATAACTTCACCATGCTCAAAGGGATATTCAATGTCTTATTTATTTATTTAATTTTCTTACCCATCTAGAAGGTGCCCTTCTTTACGAGGCATTGGAAAACCTCCCTGGTCTTTGTGTTTTTTTCTTTGTTTGAAATTCACTGCTCGACTAAGGGACCTTACAGATAATTGTGTGTGGGGTACAGAGATGCATGAGGTAGTAATTCAGACATCATGTTAAACACTATTATTGCACACATTGAGTCCATGCAACTTATTATGTGACTTTTACAGCACATTTTTGCTCCTGTACTTATTTTGGCTTGCCATAACAAAGGTGTTGAATACTTATTGACTCAAGACATTTAAGCTTTTCATTTGTAATGAATTTGTAAACATTTTGAAAAACATAATTCCACTTTGACAAAACATCTACATTTTATCAATTTTAAATTCAGGCTGAAACACAACAAAATGTGGGAAAAGTCAAAGGGTGTGAATACTTTCTGAAGGCACTGTATAGGTAGGGATAAAGTGACTAGGCAACAGGATAGATAATACAGTAGCAGCAGCGTATGTGATGAGTCAAAAGAGTTAGTGCAAAAAGGGTCAATGCAGATAGTCCGGGTAGCTATTGGTTAACTATTTAACTAACTATTTAGCAGTATTATGGCTTGGGGGTAGAAGCTGTTCAGTGTCCTGTTGGTTCCAGACTTGGTGCATCGGTACCACTTGCCGTGCGGTAGCAGAGAGAACAGTCTATGACTTGGGTGGCTGGAGTTAGTGAACATTTTTAAGGCCTTCCTCTGACACCGCCTTGTATAGAGGTCCTGGATGGCAGGGAGCTTGGTCCCAATGATGTACTGGCTGTACCCACGACCATGTGTAGCGTCTTGCGGTCGGATGCCAAGCAGTTGCCATACCAAGTGGCGATGCAGCCAGTCAAGATGCTCTCAATGGTGCAGCAATTCAGCTTAGCCGCAAAATATAACATAGACCTTTTGAATATGCCTGAGTCTTTTGAATATAAAGAATAGGAATACTGAAAGGAGGCTGAAAGAGGTCCATCTTGAAGAGGGATCAGATGTGGTGCTGATGAGATTATAAAAAGATTATAAAAATCCCTTTAAATAGAGAGGCTGTTGGAAAGCAGTGGAGTGCAGTGGTTTTATTTCTGTGAAGGGTGCTTAGCCTCGCACGCACACAAGCACGCATGCACAAACACACACACACACACGCACAAACACACACGCACACTCTTTCTTTCTCGTTCTCTTTCACTCTCTCAAACTCGCACTCACTTTTATTCTAACACGTTATTTTAAGTGCTGCGGTGCTCATACTGCCCTCCCTCTCCTCTCCTCTCCTCTCCTCTCCTCTCCTCTCCTCTCCTCTCCTCTCCTCTCCTCCCTCTCCTCTCCTCTCCTCTCCTCTCCTCTCCTCTCCTCTCCTCTCCTCTCCTCTCCTCTCCTCTCCTCTCCTCTCCTCTCCTCTCCTCTCCTCTCCTCTCCTCCCTCTCCTTCCTCTCATCTCTCTCCTCCATCTCCTCCCTCTCCTCCATCTCCTCCCTCTCCTCCCTCTCCTCCCTCTCCCCTCCCTCTCCTCCCTCCATCTCCTCCCTCTCCTCCCTCTCCTCTCCTCTCTCTCCTCTCCTCTCCTCTCCTCTCCCTCCTCTCCTCTCCTCTCCTCTCCTCTCCTCTCCTCTCCTCTCCTCTCCTCTCCTCTCCTCTCCTCTCCTCTCCTCTCCTCCCTCTCCTCTCTCTCCTTCCTCTCATCTCTCTCCTCCATCTCCTCCCTCTCCTCCCTCTCCTCCATCTCCTCCATCTCCTCCCTCTCCTCTCATCTCCTCCCTCTCCTCTCCTCTCCTCCATCTCCTCCCTCTCCTCCCTCTCCTCTCCTCTCCTCCCTCTCCTCCATCTCCTCCTCTCCTCTCCTCTCCTCTCCTCCCTCTCCTCCATCTCCTCCCTCTCCTCTCCTCTCCTCCATCTCCTCCCTCTCCTCCATCTCCTCCCTCTCCTCCATCTCCTCCATCTCCTCCCTCTCCTCTGCACCCGCAGGCTGTGATGTAATCATGCACATGTCAGTGCGAGCCACAGCAGCTGTGTGTGTGCCCCATGCATGGATGGGCAGAACATTACATTACTTGTACACACACTCATATGTAGACTACTGCATATCGTCACTGTCTGATGAAAACCTCGTAACTCAATTATTGCCAATTTTTCTTTTTCTTTTACATTTATTGAAATGTACTCCCCTCAATGTACTCTGAACATTTCATTACTCTATGACCAAGAAAATGTGTTCAAAATAGCTTCTAAAGTTTCATAATTGTATGTTTCTTAATGGGAATATATGTGAATTTTTTCAATTTACTGAAAAGTTTCTGTTTTGGAGATGAGAGGTTTTCATCAGACAGCAACTATGTGCTTGTCAGTTATATGGAGCAACAGTGTTGGACAGACCCAGCGATGGCTATTTTGCCTCTTTGAGAACGAACATATGTGATTTGCTTATCTTTGAAAAGGATTGGTTGATCTTTGAGAGGAATACTTTCTGATTGGGTGATTGTCAGACCAAGGTGCAGCGTGGTATGCGTACATATTTATTAATGACGATAAACACTTGACCAAATAACAAAAGCAACGTAACGTGAAGTCCTATGGGCTATACTCACAACATTCCTAACAGGAACACAAACACGAGTCAAGATCCCACAACTAAGGTAGGCAACATGGCTACCTAAGTATGATCCCCAATCAGAGACAACGAGCGACAGCTGCCTCTGATTGGGAATTACACCCAGCCAAACATAGAAATACACATTCTAGATCCTAAACATAAAATCTAATAACATAGATCTCAACCTGAACTCACACCCTGACCCAACCAACAAGAGTTCGGTGCCCAGTCCAGC